TCTTAGATGTCCTATATTGAGCTTTTTCTACCTACCTCAATTGTTGTAGCAGCAACTGGACAGCATGAATGTCACTCATTTTATGCAACCGGAGGTTCAGACTACGAAGGGACATGGTCGGCTTATTACTGCCAAGCAGAAACTCATGGAGGTAAGATAAGAAGAAAGCCGTACTAGTAATCCGGTCAAAAGGAGACTTTTCAAATTGTGCAATCCGTATTCGTGTGTCCAAATGTTTAAGTGATCAATGTTCTTATTTGTATGCTCGTGATCAAACAAAGAAAGTTTTTTTTTCAAGTTTTTCTTTGACGATCTTTTCCTTTTATATTCCTCGTCCTTACACTACCAGGTGTTTAGAAAAAAATTGAATTTTCTTCGCTTTGAGTTATAAATTTTGGACTGATTTAATTTTTTGTCTACTTTACTAATATTTTTTTCTAATTTTATTTATTTGGTTCTAAATATCTGACTGGTATCATTTACTTTTTTCTGATCACTTCTCAGTATTATTTCTATTGGCCTTGATTCGACAACTGTTTCGAAGGTTTTTGTCGAATCACTAATTCGTATTATACATTTTTAGAGTAATTTTTTAAATTAAAAGTTCCACATTCAAAATTGCCATTATTCCAGGACAACGGAAGTAACCGGCGTAGAAGTCTACATTCAACATTACTCAGGAGTCACAAAGAATACAGTTCTTATGAATATTGGCTTGCGTAGTAGGCTATAAGGCTAACTGCCAGTTTACATTAAAAGTTGTATCAGTCTAAAGGTCTCATAAAAAAACCCAGGAAGGCGATTGTTGTAGTCATTTTATTTACTGAAATATCGGGTCAGCAACGAAAATTGGTATATAATCACGTCTGCGAATCAGTAAACTTTAATGTAGTTAACTCCTAAATGAGTGTACTCATTTCGACGAACTACCTAACCTTCAGTTCACCCTCAGTAAACCTGAAATTTTGCTCTTCATCAAAAAATTCCTGTGTTTATAGCATCAGGGCGTTTACACTGTGAAAAGGCAGCACAGAGCAACAATGTTTGCTTTCTCCTATTGTTATTTCCATAGCAGCTCCAATTTCTCCATATTTTAGCGTTCTTTTTTCTTCTTGTAATTCTGCTACCAATCACTGACTTAACTGTCACTGCAAGGACTTCATTATGCTCTCATATGAATTGATGAATTTTATCTCAGTGATAAATAGGTCACGTTTGAGCAAGTACAAAGAAAAAATTTGAAAACTTTTTTATTATATTTCGTCAAACAAAAATCAGTTTGAAGTCTTGTTTGTAACTTTATTTCATTATATTTTATTAACAATTTCTTCTTTTATTGTTTATTTCAACTGTTCCATTATCTAGAACATATACCTTTCTTCAAAAAAATGCACTTTATCAGCACTTGACTGCAATTTCAAATGTTCTACTTTAACCAAAAAGCTATTATCAAGGTCTCGGTCTGTGAAACCAAAAAACCTTTACTGTTTTATGAAACGTTTCAGTTATACCTATTAATTTCCAAAAAAACCTTGACATGAGGGAATTCGATTTTCTAACTCACTAATGACACGTAATTAGTGAAAGAATTATTAGCTAGCTCTTTCTCTCGCAAAATTACCTGAAAAAAAAGAAAGGAATTTTTATCTGAATAATAATAACAGTGACAGGAGAGGGGTTCGGTGCGGATGGGGGCTGACTGAATGGCGTCAGGAAAAGTTCTACGGAGTAATAAAACAATAGTGGATGAAAGCAACTTAGAGATCAGTGAATTTTCTTAATATTTATAAATTTCACGGGTGTTGAAAGCAGTTTAATTGAAGTTATTGAACTTGAACTGTTCGGCGAATATTTGTTTGGTGATACAACCGCTCGACACAACAGATGTTAGTTTAGTTCTCTTCCTCCAGCGATAGGTTTGGATATGTACCTATAATTACCACTGTCTGTCTTTTTGTAAAGCTACTGTTTAAATTTTACTTATTATTTTATTCTAATAGTAATTTTTTTAATGCCTAGTTTCGATAGTTACATTCAATCAAAAATTTTATTTTTATTTGCGTCTGGTAGGGTAAGATATTCGGCGAATACGTTTTTTTATAAAAAATTTGTTTGTTTGTTCGTTATTGTAACTGCTGGGTAGACGCTGTTTTTGTACCATAAATCAACTTTCTATATTAGAATTTAGTAGAGGAATTGGACTGGAGGTCTTCGTGCAGTATGTTTTAGACAGTCGTTATCTACGAAGATACAGTTTAAAAGGTTTGCTGTCCGCCTGCAGCGGGCAGCGCACCGTGCTTACATATGATGCCTGATAATGACAAGTTCAAAAACCAGCTTTTTGCCTGAATCCGGTCAAGACTGGTTTGTAAAAATGACCTTATACTGCTCACTGTGATGTCATTTACGTAATCAATTAAAAAAGTGCGCAGACACTATTTAGACGGTTAAGAAATAATTTTTTTTAATAGTTGTCTCAACAAATAAAGTAAAACAACTGGCAGAAAAGCTTTTGTTGGTTAAATACATTTTTAAAAAAACCTCTCAAAAAGTAAGTAAAGTTTTTGCGGTTATTCAGAATTATTTTTTAAACAACATATAGAAAAGCAGAAAAAATGACTTCAATTTTTTTCCGGATTCAACTATAAAACATGCCTCAGAAGATCATATAGCTTTTTGCTTACGCCTCAAATAAATCGTCTTGATCTTACTGGTGTACGGTGAAGTTTGAAATTGATAAAGTGCAATTACTAAGACATAATTTGTACCTTTTTTTTCCTCAAGAGATAGTTTCAAGAACAAAAACTAAGATTTAGTATAAGCCTTTGGCTGATAGCGGTAAATAGCTACAAACGAAGCAGTCGTATCGCTCTTTTTTTCGTGGAATTAAGCTTGATATATTTTTCATTGATTTTCTCTTAGCTTAAAAAATATAGAAAATAAGGAACTTGTAAGAAACATTGGATGTAAGCCATTTATGTACTACAGTCGAGCATCGAACACAGCTTGATACTTTAATTCAAATAAGTGACCTGTCTTTTTCTGTAAAAAACAATCAGAAATACTGAAATCGCTTGTAGCACTTCTTTTTTAGAAAAACATCAGCCTCAATAGTGTGAGCGTAGGTAAAGTATGTTTGGGCTAAGTTATTGATAAAAATTAGTCATGAGGCACATTTGAGGGAATGAAATTAGTGACATTTTACAGTTTAATTTTAAACCTGGATACGCTGTTCTATTAAGCAACCAGGAAAATTAAATGAATGTTTAACTGTAACAAACTAACAAGACGCCAAAGGGCAAAATTTGTATTTGCCGAACACGGGTGATGTATGAAACTAATTATTTTCATTTTAAGCAAAAGGTGTAAAGGAAAACAAAAACTTGCTTTGGTCATCATTCTGATGGGTATAAAAAAACATTCAAATTTCATTTGGTTACATTGGAGACAAGGTTATTGGTTTGTCTGCTATCCTAACTTTTTTTTTACAGTTAAAGTTCAAATCTGTTCGCATAAACATTTTAAGATGTTTTCCAATTTCCATTCTCCTTTTTCTGCTTAATTTTTTTTCTCAATTTTTTTTTTGATTTGCTTTTAGAAAACAACCTAAACTGTTCTTTAGTAGAGCGTTTCAGTTTGACACTAACGATTCGTTTCGAAAATGTTTTGAAATTTTAGATTCTTTATTGGACTACTCATTTCTTTTACTCTTTTTTCCTTTTTACTTTTTTGTCTTTTTTTATCGGTATTGCTATACAAATTAGTGTTGCTTAGATCCGGTAGCTTATATTTTTGTTGCAGTCGTCTCTGTTTTTGTACTTTTGTATTACTGTTTTAAACAAAAAAAGAAGAAGAATTGGTGACAAAAAAAGTGTTGGTGTAATTTATCAGGTTGAATAATAAATAGTTTGAAAAAAGTAGTTTTAAAACTATTGTTTTGGTTACAAAACTCAACAAACCAAAATGTTTTCTTTAAAGGCTGACCAAAACAAATTTTTTCTACTAAAATTTGAGCATTTTTTGTCAAATTTTTGTCAAATATTTTCAACCTCTCTTTTTTTTTCTCGATGAAACCAACTAAACAAACTGGAAAAGATTAGGTATTTTTAAGTAAAACATTATTTAACTAATGTTGGCGGAAAATTAAAACTGCTCAAAAAAGGTTTTTTTTTTGAATGACATATTGTATAAAAAGTTGTGAAAAACTTAATTAATTAGGTACAATATAAATTAATGACAAGAAAAGTTGTACATCGAATATGGTTTAAACCAATTTGTTAAACTTATCTTCACTGTTTTAGAAGAGAGAGAAAAAAAAAAAGAAAGAAGAGGAAATGAAGACAGCAATTAC